AATACATATTAATAAAATGCAAATACATATAGAAAATTAATTATAAAATGTCATCTTAAAATAGTTTTTATTTTTGTTCTTTATTTACATATGCATACATATACAAAAAAATAAAAATAATATGATAGCCTTTTTGCTGACATTATCTCTCAATATTTGCATCCGTGTGCTCACGTATTAGTGTTTGTACCTACATGGACGCTACTACATATGCGATGTAAGAGAGACAAAGATGGAATGATGCTCTCTCCTTGTCAAGCAGTCAGCATGTTACCACAGAAATTTCCCCTGCTCCTTATGAATCTAGTGAGAATCTTATCGTCCAGATATTTCATAAAATAAGTGACATAACTTCGTGAATTTTTTTTAATATATTCTTTATATAATAAAGCAGTCCTCTAAAAGGCCGGATTTTACATTTTCGCTCTTAAAAATTTATAATAAATAAAATACGGACTCGCGGCTAACCCAACCTTACCCGTTCCTAGCTGTGCATTCCCCCAAGTTTATTAAAATTTTTATTTTTATCTTTTTTTCATAAAATAGCTCTTTAGAGGACTACAAATGAGCTTACTGATTAAGAATATCCTAAATTTAATAAGATTCATTCAATATTTTCGCTAATATCTGGAAAATAAGAATCCGTAATTCCCGGCCGGCCGATAGGCGTCTCCACCATGTCGCCTGCCGACCCTTAATAGACAGATCGCCAAAGGCCTGCCTAAAGAAGAGACCGCCATCTTCGTGCGATAGACTTTGCCCCTTACCGACACACTTTGCCCCTGGTTCGAGTCCGTGCTAAATTTCGTAGACTTGAACCAAAAGACTTTGCCCCTGGTTCGAGTCCGTGCTAAATTTCGTAGACTCGACCAAAAGACTTTGCCCCTGGTGCAAGTCCAGGCTAAATTCGTTTGACATTACCAACAGACTTTGCCCCTGGTGCGAATCCAGGCTAATTGATCATGAGACCAATTTGAGAGATTTGGCCCCCGTTGTGTGTGTGTGTGTGTGTGTGAGAGAGAGAGAGAGAGAGAGAGAGAGAGAGAGAGAAAGAGAAGAGATATTTACATATGCATATATATATATATATATAAAATTTATTAAATATAAAAAATATATTTTTTACACATAAAATGTTTTTTATTGAAATAATCACGATTTTAAATGTGATATAACACAGTGTTCAAAAATTTTTAATTAAATTTTATTAAAGAAAATTACTTGAAATTTTTACATTAAGAATTTAAAGGCTCCTTATTCTCTTGTAGAAATTTATCACTATGCCAATTAATCACTTATTTCGAGTATTTAAAATACTATAATATACAGTAATTTAAGTATTCGAAATAAAAGTGATTAATTACTCGAAATAAGTGATAAATTGGCGTTACTAGTAATAAATTTCTATAAGGGTTGAAATAAAGTATAAGAGATAAATAGGCTATATGTGAGCCGTATGCGAAATGTGAGATGTAAGACGCATATTGAAATTTAATTTTTCGATATAACTTTCAAAAATGTACACGAGGTACAAAAAATTAGCTTGGACATTTGTAAGACTTAAAATTGGGATTAATTCTCAATTCTATTAATTAAATTTCGATATAACACACCTTACATCCGCGCACGGCTCACATATAGCCCATTTATTAGTGCAATTTTTAAGTTCCTTATTTTTCAAAGTTCACCTTTTTACGTTATCAAATATTTTGGTACGTTTTCAAGAATTTTATATTTTTACTTACCGCAGTTTCTTATCCAAATGTAAAATCTTTTATCGCAGTCTATAAAAAATTGAAACAATTTACAATTTTATGATATAATATTATTATTATTACAATTTCTATATATATGCACATCTGTCAAATATCGTGATTTATTTCACATTATTATTATCTATTTTAATAAAAAAAAAAAAAAAAAACACTTGCAACAATCAAAAATAAACCGCCTGCCGCGAACGGAAAATGCCAAGAAAGCACGCAATTTCCGCGAATCTCGTAATTTTTTTGAAAAATCAACAATTTCAACGAAATTGTAAATTCTTCAAATCACTGCACAAGTATAATTCACAATAATAATTTTCAGTAACTACGATAAAAAATCGTATACTGAAAACCGCAAACGAAAGTGCAATGGAAGTAAGAGTAAAGTCTGTGATAAAATTAATTGGCAATAGAAAATTAATAATTTTCAAATAGAAAAATTTTGAAATTACCGAGGATTTACAAATAATAAAGTAAAAATATTAAATAATTTATGTTTTCGAATTTTGCTCGCGGAGAGGATCTTTAAAACAAGATTTTTAGAAGAGAGGACCTTTAAAATATAAACAGGCAAAAACGTTGGAAAAATTAAAGCGCGCGTTTAAACAGATAAACGCAATGAAATAGATACGCAATTGTTTTTACTTATCGCTGTAAGCTCACAAGCTTCTGACGTGCTATACACTTTTATATAATATATACAGGGTGTCCGGTAACTAACGGACCAATGATTAAGGGCGGATTCTCTGGCCAATTTGGAGACGATTTTTCCTTAGCAAAAATGTTGAGAAGTCAATAATTTTCGAGTTATAAGCGATTGAAAAAAATAGGTTTTTTGAAAACTAAACGTTTTGGAGTTAAAAGTCTAACATAATTACATTCTTCAGTTAATTTCAGGTAGAGTTTACTATAATAAAATTTTAATTTAAGGCTTAGTTATAAAGATACATAATGACAAAGATTGGAAAGTTGTAAAAAATGATGACCTTTTTCGACATTTTCGCTGAAGAAAAATCGTTCCCAAATTGACCAAAGAATCCATTTGTAATCATTGGTCTGTTAGTTACCGGACACCCTGTATATTGGACACGAGTTTCGTTTGTTTCAGATTCTCGAGAGTTGAAGTAGGAACATACGAGTATCATATATCGTTTGTGACTTGCCGAATGAAAGCAAGACAGAGAGCGAACGAGATGATGAGCTTAATAGCTCATAATGTTATAAATAAATAAATAAAAAATTATAACTTGACCTACTAGTTATTGAATCTTTTTTTAATAAAATGTTTCATTATTATTATCATCTAAGTCTAAGTCGTTTAATTACTTTTTAGTTTTTTAATAATTAATTTAATTTATTCTAGTCATTTTTATATGAGAAAAATAATATCACGTATACGTTTTATAATGAATTAATATATTTCGGGAACCGAATTATATATTCTTAATAATATTAAAGTGTTTAAAAATTATATTTGACTTTTAATTTTAATTATTTTTTAGCAAAGAGTTTCGAAATCTCTTACACACATAATGGGGATTTTTTTCATCCATATATTCGCAATTAGTATATATGTTAATTATTAATTTTAATAAAATAAAAATTAAAATTAAAGGTCAAATATAATTTTTAAACACAAATATATTAAATTAATTATAAAACGTATACCCATGATAGTATTTTTCTCGTACAAAAATAATTAGAGTAAATTAAATTAATCATAAAAGATTAAAAATTAATTAAAGAATTTAAACTTATATTTTATATAATAATAATAAAACATTTTATTACGTCAAACCGTCGTGAAATAATTAAATAAAATTTGCTAGTTACGTCGAAGTCAAGTTTTCTAAGCTTATAAAACATTTTATTAAAAAACAGATTCAATAAATATAAGTACATGTTATATATATACTTATATTTATTGAATCTGTTTTTTTTATAAAATGTTTTATTATTATCATATAAAATATAAATTATTTAATTATTTTTTATTTTTTATGAGTAATTTAATTTATTCTAGTTATTTTTGTACGAGAAAAATACTATCACGGGTATACGTTTTATAACAATTAAATATATTTATGTTCAAAAATTATATTTGACCTTTAATTTTAATTTTGTATTTTATTAAAATTAATAATTAACATATATACTTAATTGCGAATTATATGGATGAACAAAATCCCTATTATGTGTGTAAGAGATTTCGGAACTCTTTGCTAAAATAATTAAAATTAAAAGTCAAATATAATTTTTGAACACTTTTATATTATTAAAAATATATAATTCGACTCTCGAAATATATTAATTCATTATAAAACGTATACGTATTAGTATTTTTCACATATTAAAATGATTAGAATAAATTAAATTAATTATTAAAAAACTAAAAATTAATTAAACGACTTAGACTTAGATGATAATAATAATGAAACATTTATTAAAAAATAATTATAATAGGTCAGGTTAATATTTTATTTATTTATTTATTTATAACATCATAAAATTCCTTTCCGAAATACGCGAACGCTACGAAAAGATAAATCTCGTACATGCCGCCGGACGAGTTCATGAGCATGAGACGCTCTTATCTTGGGAACGTATTAATAGTTACTGCATTGACCACTACTACAATATGGCGCTGAAATCAGTGAGAAATGCTGGTCTCTCCTTCATCCAGACCTTTGGCGATCTGTCTATTAATCTGTGGCAGCGACACATTTTTCGAGCAGCGAGATTGCGAGAAGTATTTTTTTGAGCGATAGTGAGCATCATTTCGCGCATTATTTACTTTCTATTTTTATTTAGCAACTCGTAAGTGTATTATTGAAATGGACAATTAATTTGAAGTAAATATGTATTTCGCTCGCTTAATTCGTGATAGTAGGTTAATACCACGGTCTTGTATACAAGATCGTGGTTAATACACGTATATCGCATTGTATCAATGTAATAAGTTGTTAACTTATCGCATTTAATTGATAAATAAATGATATTTTGATCATTTTCCATTGTTCATTTAACCTTCGCTATTTGTACCTGTGCGAAGTTAGTCCTTCGAGACTTCGAGATATCGCGGTCGTGAATATCGAGCCTCGCGCGCTTCTCCCGCCTTATTTTCCCGCCATAAAAGTCGGAAACGTCGCGCGCTCATTAATTGCATTCGAGTACGATAAGTAATTGTCTGGTTTTATACGAGTGTGTGCTTGTAATTAATTGTTTTCTGTATAGTGAGTATCACGAAGGAGCGACAGTGGTGAAGTAAGAGAGAAGAAAGCACATTAGGTGTCGGTGGAACAATAATTCTCTCTATAGGTTAGTATTTATTGGTTATTTATTATTAAGTTATTATAATAAATTAAAATTGATTAGTAATGAATAATCAAAATTTATTTATAAAATTAATTATATTTCTCTGTTTATTATTGTACGTATAAAAAATAAAATCTTGTGCATACAGTAATAATTTTATAAAATATTAATTATTTTAGAATCTGTTATAATTTGAATTTTATTTATTACAGATCTGCGTATAATTGAGCATTTTAACAATTTGAGTAGAGGAGTAGATATCTGATAGGTATATCGGCGGAATAATCAATAAGGTGAGTGTTATTATTGGCTTACAATTAGTAATTTATTAATTATTAATTAAATAAAAATTAATTATTTAATTATATGTATTTCTATTTATTATTGTGGAAAATGAAATTCAATGTATACAATAATGAGTTTTTATAAAATATAATTTTATTCTGTATGCTATAATTTGAATTTTATTTATATATATTACAGATCAATATGTAACTGACGATCTTATGACAATCTGAGAGAAGAGAGAAAATCTAGGAGAGTCTGCAGACACCATGGAGTGAGTATTTGTTATTGGCCTATTAGTTCAATTACTATATAAATAAAAATTTATAAAATAAAATAAAAACTTATCAAATTATTATAAATTAAATATAAAATAATTATAAATAAAATAAAAATTTAATAATTGTAAATTAAATAAAAATTATTTATAAATTAAATCAAATTTATAATATTATTTAATTTCTGCTTGATATTATATGCGTGGAAAGTAAAAATCCAATGCGTACAGTAATAATTTTCTAAAATATTAATTATTTTGTTACAATTTCAATTTTACTTGTATGTTACAGATCAACATAAATGACAATCTGAGAGGAGGAGGAGGTCTGGGAAGACATCGGGCATCAGTGGAGCAACTATATAGGGTAAATATTTATTATTTGATTTATTAATTCAATTATTATTATATAAAATTTTATAAAATTATTCAATTATATATATTTGTTTATTATTGTACGCATCAATATAAAATTCAATACATACAATAATCATTTTCTAAAATATTAATCATTTTTAGCATTGCTATAATTTGAATATTATTTATATTACAGATCAACGTAGTGTGAATACAGTCAACTCTGTTCTTTGCACATCGGCCAGTGAGTGAAAAACTATTATTTATTACAAAAGGTAACGGTTTTGTAGAGATTAAATTATGTAGAGATGCGTAGATGAAATTGTAGGCTGTGTAGACTGTAGATCGTAAATAGTTCCGTTACCTTAAAATAAATGGATTATAAAAAATTAGAAATATATATATATATATATATATATATATATATATATATTAAAGATTATAAATATATTATAATTTAAGAAAAGGAGAAGATTTTATAATACATTGTATATTTAACTTAATTTATTTTAAAAGAACATCAACAATATAATTGTATTCTAATGTGCTTTTTATACATTATAAATGATTAAATAATTATAATTATATTTAGTATTATAATTTACAGATATTAATTTTTTATTATTTTTTTATATATATTTTATAATCCATTCATATTGATTGATAATTTGATTTTAGTTAAAACAAATTTTTAAAAAAATGATATGCGTTCTATCAAATATTTTGCGAATTTATTTTTTATTCTATCTTTTATTTTTATTTTTTATTAAATAATAAAATAATATTAAAGAAAAAGTAATATATAAATGATGATATACAATTTGCAGAAAAATTTACGATAATAATTTTGAAATTTTTAGTACAAATTATATATGTTATTTTATATTATTCTTTTTATAATAATAAAAACGTAATAAAGAACGTACAAAAGTTTTTCATACAATATATTAATTCATAAATATTTAATAATTTTCATTAAAGAGGGGATATATTATAGACATTATAGAATAATATTAATTAATTACTAAGAAATGGCGGTAATTACGAATGAAGCACATCTATGGTATGCTTGACATCGCCATAAAATGAGACGATATTTAATAATAGGACACAATCGAGTGGCGCCTAAAAGTGTAATTCGGGCAAAGTTATAAAGTATTGCGCGTTCAGTGCGGGAGTGTCGTCCAGTCGCGCGCGCGTTAAATAAGACTTTGACACATATCGGACAATCCTGATCAACCTGACTTGAGAGGAGGAACAGGCCTAGGAGGCATCAGGCGCCGGCTGATCAACGCTGTGGTGAGTATTATTGATATAAATTTAATTATTTATTATTAATTATTTCTTTTATATAAATTATTTATATAATTTATTATTTATATTTGTGTGTATAATGTTTATATAATACTTATACAATAATATTTATAATTATAATTATATTATATTATAATATTATTATATCTATACATATATAATATTGGATTTGTTATTTTATATTATTCTTTTTTATAATAATAAAACGTACGTACTTTAATAATAAAAATATAATTAACAATAAAAGGGGCATATTGCAAAATCAATTTGCGCATATCAATTCTAGAATGACAAAATCACTAACAATGAGTATTTATTTTAAACTTGCATTTGCTCTAGGGAGAAAAGTAAAAAATTTTATTAATTTTATTTATACATTTGAACGATTTAAATGAAAAAAATAAGAGAGAAATATTTTGTATAAATATTATAAAAATTTATATTAAAAAATAATCTTTACAAAATTTATAAAATTATTTAGCTATATATCCACTGATTATTGTACGCGTCAAATATAAAATTTATTGTGTAAAATATTAATTTTTAAAGACATTAATTATTTAAAGTGTTGTTATAATTTATATACTTATTTTTATGTTACAGATCAACGTAGCTTCAACTCTTGCTGTTTGCACATCGATTGGTGAGTGATAAACAATTATTTTATTAGGAGGTAACGGTTTCATATATGTATTTCATTGTAGAGATGTAGATTGTAGGCTGTAGATTGTAGGCTGTAGATTGTAGTTATCATCCGTTACCTCAAAATGAATGAATAACAATTAATTGGAATATTTTAATTAAAAATAGACAATTTATATATAATAATTATGGAAGAAATTAAATTTAAAATTATTAATTTTTTTATAAAGAATACACCAACAATTAATAATTGTGTTTTGTAATTACGTACTATAAAAAAATTTTATAAATTAATAACAATATTTATTTTTTTAATATATCAAATTTATTCTAATTTTTTGTATAATAATATATTCATTCATATTGTTGTCATTCATATTTAATGCTTATTTAAGGCTTGTGTTAATAATGGTTTTTATATTTAATATATATGTAATATTTTTTATATAAATAATTTTATTATTATGTTATTATATGTTTATATATCGTTATTATATCATTATATATTTTTGAGTACGTACTTTAATAATAAAAATATAATTAACAATAAAAAGTGCATATTGCAAAATCAATTTGCGCATATCAATTCTAGTATGACAAAATCACTAACAATGAGTATATTTATTTTAAACTTGTATTTGCTCTAGGGAGAAACAAAGAAAAGTAAAAAAAATTTGCTCACAAATTTTATTAATTATTGTTAGAGTACAAAAAGGCTATTTTTGTGACAGATATATATATTGTATATATATTATATATATTGTGTGTGTGTTATAATTTAATTTTACTTATATCAAACCACTGCGTAAAAATTTGCTAGAAAAAAAACCGATACACGTGCACGGTTTTATTTACTGTAAAATAAATACATACAATAATTCATCTACTACACCCACTATATAGAAAAATAGAAGCGAAGCGATGACGAAAATATACTTATACTCTATATAAAATAAATTGTATATAAGAGTGAGAAACAAAGTTTCGTCTCTATAAAGTCTATGAATTATGCGGTATTTCGTTTTTGATTCTTGAGAAGTTTCTGATCTTGCGTGATACAGATATAAAGTTAAGTTTATATCATTAAATAGCATCGATATTATATATATTTTCCACTGTCAGGGGGATAATTCACGAGGAGAAAAATAGTTGACAAATGAATTTCTTGACTGCGATTTTTTTTATATCAAATAGTTGATTAAGAAGAGATACGGAGATTAAAAAAGCACTTGATTTATTTAATGGGTTATACATAGTATACTTTTATTTTTGGAAATAACATATGCCTATTTCTAATGTATAACTCTGAGAAGTTTTCACACAATTCCTATAATTTTATCTCTCATTAAACGCTATCGCTTTTACAATTGATTTCTGCGACATTATTTATAGAATCTATTTTTTCTCGTAACACAGTATCACTAATTAATGTGATACCCCATTTAAAATGTTAATTGTCTTGCTAATTATTTATGCATTTTTGATACTTTTCCAATATATCTTTTCTCGATATTTGGCAGATTTTGAATGGTAATAATGATTTTTCCTCACACTTCTAATCAATATGTCGCATTATATTGCGATAATCGTGATACTAATTCTACGATTTTGGTACTGATCTGTATATATGTATATGTGAATATATCATTGTCTTTCATCGAGAAAGCGAATTCTCGTACATTAGATATATATGTATATACGTGATTCTCTAAAATTAAATGATTTTATATGATTGAGATGCGATATGCAACATTTGAAACGAGCAAAATTGAAGCAATATTAATTCTCAATACGCTAAAAGAGATTTCGAATTAAAACAAATCATTATTTTCGATTCATATTTTTGACAGTTATCAGCTGATTTCTGTCAAAAATATTATTCGCGCGAATAAGGTGTTATAACATAATATTTACAACTTACTATATTTAATATTTTTAACATATTATTATTTTAAATTTAATTAGCAAATTAATGTTTATTAATATTTTGACCTAATACAAAAGACCGATAAGAAAACTGTGAAACAAAAATGATGAAAAATATATTGAATATTTATTTGAAACAAAAATTAATACACAATATTATATATTCAATATTTTATAAATATTATAATATTGTAGAGTATTACTTCTGCTAATATTCAAATTTTATTATAATTTTCAATACAGAAATGAGTAATTAAAAGCTCTTAATAAAAGGTCGACTAGTAATTTTAGTAATATTTTGGAATGCAATTAAAAATGCCTCGCAACAACAAGCACTTGAAATAATTCGCGCCATATTTTCTCGCTTCGTGCTTTAATTTAAAAATAATGCATTTTATTTCCACCTCTTTTATAATTCATTCCTCCTCATTTATTTATGACTCATTATATGTAAGCCTTTTAATGAGGAAATTGCACTTCCTAACAAAGTGAATTTACAACTCGCGAATATCGTTCATCGACCGACACGCAGCATTTCAGCCATGAAAGAATATACTTTACGCGCAATGATTGCTTTAACTACCCTCTATATATATATACAGTTACATAAAACTGGAGTTGTTAATTGAAGGACCGGTAATTTACGCTCGAGAGAAACCCAGGACCGGTTCGTTCTTACGCTTATATCTTCTTCACAACATGTTATTCATTTGTTGTTCGTTCATAAAAATTGTAAAAATTCCACTTAAATACACCCAAAAATTACTATTATTGCCACTTCGATATTTATTTCACAATTATCAATATTTCATAATTGAAATCCTTTAAAAATAGAATTTGCACGAAATTATAAGAATAAAAGTTGTAAGAGTTTAAGAAACCGAACTGATGAATGGATTTAGATGTAATTTTATCGTTGTTATTATTTGCGCGCAAAAAATTGTGTAAAATTTCATTTAAATATTCCAAAAATTACCATTAATTACCAGTTTGACATTTCATCATTAAAATCTTTTAAAATTGAATTTGCGCGCGTTACATGATTAAAATTTAATTTTCTTAAAAAAAAAAAAATGTGATGAATGGTTTTAGACATGATTTCGACATTTGTGATGAAAGATTCCATTTTAATAGTCAAAAATTATCATTAATTGTCACATTAAAATTTAGGATCTTAAGAAACCGATATGAAAGATAATGGATAAATTTAATTTGATCATAAATCGATTAATTTGCGTTGTTAAAATAATGTGATTTTGCTCGTTTCTCTGTTGCAAATATTCAGAGGATAAATGATTTTATTATTATTATTGTTATTATATTTTCATCCTAACTGCAAATGTTATTGACGTATCTTCGTTTGAAAACTGGAGTGACATGGTGACATTTTCATCATGCAATTTACGTCTGAATTAATTATAAAATGATTA